TGTTTAATTAGGCGCAGTTATTTATTGTTATCAGCAGCTGTCCTGTCAGTAGCGACTAGCGAGCACTGCTCACATGTTGCTCTATTCTACTTATCTGCATTTGTTCGACACAAACAAGCTGCTCTATAAACCGTGACGTTACTACGATCTGTTACTTACAAGTAAACGCATACATAGAGATTGGTTTGTCTGCCTGTGTGTGTAGACAAACATAACGTCCGACTAAAATTATAAATGTGAAAGTCTGTAAGAATCCACGGATGTATGGATGTACGTTTATTAGTTTTTCACAAAAATCTACTAGATGGATTTGGATGACTTTGTCAGAGACCAAAGTTCATCATTTAGTAGATATAGCATCACAGCAGATTATAGTCCGGAATAACACATTTGGTATTTTTTACCCCGAGAACATTGGCCGCCGGTGGCAGTAGTTAACCATAAATAGACTTATGTTTCACCCAGACACCGTACTTACCAATCTGCTCGGTTGGCACAAAAATTGGGCTAATTGAATTTATTTATAACTTGGTACACCATGGGCTTTCTTGCGGTAGAAATGCAGGCCGCATAGCTCACCATGCCAGCATCAACGACATCATTCGCGGTGCTCTTGCCGGTGTACCAGCTGTATTAGAACCTAATGGTTTGGTACGTGATGACGGCAAGAGACCAGATGGTATGTCGTTGCTGCCTTGTAAGATGAGTAGGCCTTTGGAATGGGACGCGACGTGTGTAGACACACACTGGGTACATTTTATAAGTTAAAAAAAGTATATAAGTATACACAAAAAAACTTAATTATGCGATTCGATCCCTGGATACAGTTACTGTACCAAACGCAAATATAAGTTTATCGAATGTTAGTTGCCCGCAGTGGACCTTACACTGTGGGGCTAATGGTCGAAATTAGCTTGAACCACTATTATAAATGGGAAATAATTCTGTGTATTATTGTTATTCAGTTACATCAAAATGGCTGAAGGGACCCGCATGACATTTGGAACAGGGGTAGATTATGGTCTGTAGTAGTATATATATATATATACACATAGGCTACTTTTTACCCCCGAGAACGCGAGCTAAGCCGCTGGCAGAAGCTAGTTTGTCAATAAAATTATAATATTTATTATTATTTAAATATCTGTTTAGCCGTTTGGCGTCTGTAACCCATGCACCTCGCGCTTGGTTGGTCTCGTGTCAAACGGTACGACGTGGGCGGCGCTGGGCAGGTAGCACTTGTTCAAGTAAAATACCGACTTTCAATCGGTTCTGATTAAGGCTCAGTGCCATTCTGTTAAGCCATTCGTAAGATTAGATGAGACTTGAGTGTACCCCCTCCCCCCCCCTTACACATCTCACGTAATTTATGGACGCCCCCTTAGTGGCCTCTGTGGACTAACTATGAAACAATTCCTGCCTAGGGCGTGCATTCTGTCGGATCCTCACATAAACGCAATCATCGTTATATCGATTCGTAACCCAGTCAGTCGGTAATTTTAGTGGTTAAAAGAAATCGAAGTTCAGTCGAGTTGGTACTTACAACATAGTCGTTAAAGGAAATCGAATTGTTATATGAGTGTGTCGGCGAGAGCTCCGGACTCTTGCCCCGGCAGTGGACGCGAGGTGCGCGCTGTGTCAAACTGCTCGTGACCGTTACCGCGTCACGAACGCCCGCCACACCGCGCCCCGCGCCCCGCGCCCCGCGGCCCCGCTCGCAGCTATCTGCACTGCTGCCAGTACACGACACCTCTGCAAGCGCTACCTTCGGTAGCTTCTTTTATACTGCTCTATCAATGCACAATCGTCAGTCAGAGTTTAAGTAGTACCTATTGGTCTGGAAATTACCTATACATATTATGAATTCGTAAAACCAGCTTATCCTGGTGTCGCGTCGCATCATCTTTCCGAACATTAACGTTCAGTTTATACTGGTTATGTAAAGCTCGATGTGTAGCCGTGTGTACATAACTATAAGTATTATATTGTATTATATATGCGTAATACTCCAGCAGCCCACGGGCAATAAAATAAAGTCTTGATGTACACATTTTTTTAAAGGTAGTACGAATGTTTCAATCACTCTTGGCCTGGAATATGTCCTCAATACTTGTACATTGTACAACAATCTGTGTTGTATGTGGTGTGTGTGTGTGTGTGTGTGTGTAGTCATCCGATTAGTTATGTGTGGCTAAGTGCTACAATCTCTCAACGTTTTAGTTCATCCATTACTTTGGATTGAAGTCATTAAAATCCAATTAATATAACGTTAATTTACTATACTCTGCATACTATCGCAGACGCTCGACGCTCGAGCATATCAACATGATTCCATGAATCATTAGACAAATTATTATTGATGACAATAACATTTAAGTAGTGACTTGTATGTACATTTACTTATACATATTACAAAGGTACGCAAGGCATTAGCTTCAGTGCAATGAGAACGTGTCCATTTGAGGAAAGTATCCAAATAACATGGAGCCGATTGGAGCCTTCCACATTCCAGCGCTGCACCGAGCGCAGCTACACGTTCCTAGCGAGGCAGCGCGCAGCGACCCGCCTCAGATTACCGATACTGCGATACTCGTTCGGTGAATTATTCTCAAAACAATAAATGCTTACTGTACGAACAAAGGCCGAGGATGGCGCGAACCGTGTGCGGTGCAATGTGTTGCATTTTCAGAATAGCGAGCAATTATTTATAATTATAACGTACGTGCTACGAGCATGTACGTTCTAGAAGCGAGAGAGAGCGAGTAGTTACACTTAGAGTATTATATAACATTATTGTAAAATGCTTTTATTTATTTATTTAATACAATTACTTTGCCATTACAGATAACTTAACCTAATTCGACATAGTAACTTAAAATACGTTTCCTAAACTATTAACTATATTTAACTATAAACTATATTTCCTTACACACTAAGTGGTCCTTGTGAACTCGCTCAGTGTACAGTTAAATATGTCTACGACATCAGCCACCGTGTTAAGAGTGCGCAAGGCACGAGTGAGCGGCGCGCGCTCCAGCAGGTTGGTGCGCGCCCGCGGCACCACCAGCAGCCGCGGGCGGCGCCGCCGCGCCACATAGTCGTCCGGCATACAAAAACCTATCTCCGAAAGCATACCAGAGTTTTGTATGTTACCTCTTAAAACCTTCAGAAGATAAGTTGCCGATGCTACTTCACGCCTGACTTCCAATTTGTAGTACCCCACCATACCGAGACAGAATAAGGTGGGATACAGTAACGGGTATCCCGGATATATCCCATATATTTTTAAATACATAAATCTGATGTATTTATTTTGTATCCGCTCGAGCATTGTTTTATATTTTATTTCGCTCGGACTCCAGATGGTCGCATTGTATTCCAAATGACTCCTCACAAGAGCCTCGTACAAAGCCCTTAATGCGCTGATATTCGCCTGACGCAGCACAAATCCCAGATTCCTGTACGCCTTCTTACAAACATATACCACATGTTTACGAAACCTTAAGTCGCTGGAGAAATGGATGCCTAAATCCTTTACCTCCGTGACACGCTGCAGCAGCTCCCCGTTCATGCTGTACTGATGGTGTTGTTGGTTCAGTGTGCGGGCGGTTGGTTAGATGCGCCAAGTTTTTAAACAAGGTGCTATATATATGCCTATTCATACTTTTTTAAACACCAGGGAGAAAGTAAAATTTTTGAAATTTTTGAACAAAATCAATTTCTGATTTCTATTTTAAAAAATACCTTTGTTACTGTAGCCTGATTATGAGAGTGGTCGATTGTTCCTCCGTAACTTTTTCAATAATTCTTTTATAAACTACGTTTAACTCGTCGAGTACCGGTTTTATAGACACAATTAAAGAACAATAGGTCGCGGTCACCGGTGACCGCTTGGTGTTTGACAGTCTGTCAAACACCAAGCGGTCACCGGTGACCGCGACCTATTGTTCTTTAATTGTGTCTATAAAACCGGTACTCGACGAGTTAATATAACTGACTTCAACCCTCCTCCCCCTTTTTTTTAAATAGTTTATCGTGTAATGAATATGCTAAAACCTTCTCCTAAGTGTAATAAACACTTTTCTGAAAACCGCATCAAAATGGGTTCAGACAATGGTGAGATAATCGCGCACAAATATACATGCAGGACAAACCGACTCGAACTGAGAACATTCTTCTTTTTTTAAAGTCGATTGCAAATGGATTGTTTTCGTTGTGTTTTCCAGAAATGGCATAAGAAGGCCTGGGACTGGATCAAATATTAGTTTTAGTTTCCCTCCCTTGAGTTTTGGGACGTTCTGTATAATGTGTTATGGTGAACCTTAAAGGAGGGCCTTGATTGGTTAGTTCCAATGAATCAACCAATCACATCGCCGGACCCCGTCTCGTTTCTATTACTTGATACGTAAAACAAACTCGTAGTAAGGCCTCTGGTTGGTCGGTTTATTGGAGCCGGCCAATACTAAGTCTACAGAAGACGATATTTTAGTTTGACTGCGTCTGTTCGTAATAAGAATACATACCTTTTATTCCCTCCCTGTATGAGAAAGAGAGTTGCGTTTTTTGATAAGATAGTCTTAATAAAACTATCAGATTACTTGAATGCGATCGGATGAACAAAAGACATCAACGCGCGAACAGATGAGTGACTACATTTTATTGAGTAAAACATCGCATTATTGTTGTAACATTTAATTTTTAGTTTCAACAGTCATCTAACAGGGCAAGATTTTACGAAAAGTTCCGTAGTAGCTTCCGTCGATTCAGTACACGGTACGTACTTACAATACATTACATGTCGCATTTATATGTTTCATTTATACACTTAATTCACTTCAGACACAGTCAATCATACGACAACAGCGATCGTAATCGTTACGAAAATACAAAATAATACTGAAGAATAAATATTCACTACGACTAAGTACATAATTTTACATTAAAGCTCAAGCCTCAATTCGGCAGTCAGTTAGCAGTCTCAGTATAGTCGGACACGGCACTCAGCACACTGTCTCCATGGGGACCCGCGGGGCGGGAGCCGCGGGCGTGGGGGGCGCGGGGAGCGCGGGGAGCGCGGCCGAGGCGGGCGCCGGCGTGGTGTGCGTCAGCGACTCCCCGCAGGACGGCAGGTGCGTGGAGGAGTGCGTGGCGCGCGCCTGCGCCCCGTCCCGTCCACGCGCGCAGCACGCTGCCGCCGCTCGCTTCACGGCGGCCCACGCGTGGGGCTGGCAGCCCACCACCAGGAAGATGAACACGCCCTGCAGCGCGTTCAGTAGGTCCGTGGCGTACCACACGTAGTCCGGCCCGCCTGCCGCCCACGACACCACGTCTGCTCCCCAAGTCACGCCCATCACTACCACCAGCTTGGCGCACACGCGACCCAGGGCCGCCCTACGAGTTATAATACATTTGTACTAACTTTTCACTAACTTTTGTGCACGCTTTAAATTAACACAATCAAAAATGTATGTATGAATAGTAGCTCACCGTTCAGAAGTGGACTTGACTTCGTCGCGCCGCCAGAGGCCGCAGGTGAGCTGGCGAGTGGTCGAGATGAATAGCGCTAGATTGACGAGTAGCAGGACGCCCACAGGCCCGAAGAAATAGACCAAAATCTCCATGTCACCGTAGAACCAGCAGCGTTGCACGGCAAAACGTGGGCGCAGGAAGGGCGCGGCGGCGGCGGGCGGCAGCTGGTCCAGCGCCGCGGCCGCGCCCGCCAGCAACAGCGGCCCGCCCCACGCGTACACCATGTACACCCGCAGCCGCCACGCCTCCTGCCCGCGCTCCAGCGACGTCGGGCGGAAGTCCCTGCACACACGCACACTCCTTCACACCCGCACTAAGTCCCGACACGCCGGTTGCTGCGAGGCCGTGATAGCTCGTGGCCTCGCAGAATTACTCCATACTACTTATGTCCAAAATCTATTTTAGTCCAAAGATTTTGGCCTAACTCAACTATTCATTGGAGTTGTGTACTTCTCGTAAATTTCACACGACTAAACAGTTTACCCGACGGAGGTGTACATACAATCGATTTCAGACTGATATCGATTTGTTACGAATCCTACAATTTTAGGTAAGTAGAAGTAAAGAGTGGCGGATCGACTGAAATCGATTTTATAAATGCGTACTTCCATACATTGCAACACAAAATGAGCCTTAAACTGTCAAACACCAAGCGGTCACCGGTGACCGCGACCTATTGTTCTTTAATTGTGTCTATAAAACCGGTACTCGACGAGTTAATCTATAGTTGTCCAAACTCCAAAGTTTACATCACAACTAGACTATGATTTTATTTCGAACAATTCGGTATGTAAAGTGAAATCAACTTAAGTATGCCAATTCGAAAACCATTTAGATGTTTTAGGTTCCTAGGTCACTGAGAAACCGTCACATTTATAATATTAGTGTGATTTTTAATTTAATTTGAGGTGTCAAGTAGTTACTTCCTGGGTAGTAGCTTTTAAATGATTAATTGATATAATTGTACGGGAAACTTATTTGTACCAGCATCGTGCATTTGTGCCTGATGCCAAATAAATTATTTACATTCTATCGAATTGAATGAAGTGTGTAATGGTAGTTGTACGTACAATGAATAAAATATAAGTATTCTACAAGTAGATTTTGGTCCAAAAAGCTTCGAGCCTGTAAATCTTTAAAAGTATCTCAAGTAACCCTCGTTCTATGCTTAGAAATAAATTTCTATCTTTTTTCGATTCCTAAATTCCCATAATAACCACAGAAAATACCTAAATAAATAAACGACTGTCTCGTGGTGTCTAGTATAGAAAAACTAAAGGATTAACACTCACCGGAAAGTCCACCAGATGTTGAAACACATCGTATTGAGCCAAAAGAATGCGGACAGGAACAAGAAATGCATGCACACCGCTACACAGCACATGAAACAAACGAGACTTCGGTGAGCACCACAGCCGCGGGGCATTACCCAGACCTCACTCGGGACCGGGAGTCACTCACCCAGCGCGCGACACAGCGCGGGCGGCACGCGGTCCCCTGCCAGCTGCGTAGCGGCCAGCAGAACGTCCCCCAACATCAGCGCCGCCACATAGTGCGTCTGGCAGCGCCAGTGCAGCGCATGGTGAGCCGCCGGCAGAGCGAAACCGGCTGCCAGTGTGGCCGCCAGGAAGGCCGCTCCCACCGCCAGTCCTGCGCCGTATAGGGCATGTCGCGTGGCCTGTGTCGTCGGCCTCTGCGACCGCGCCTCCGCCTCGCAGGCGAGCACGCGCGTGCCCGCCTCGCCGAGCACGGCCTCCGCGCACCATGTGCCACCGGCCAGTAGCTCACCGCCGCCTCCCGCCGCGCGCAGCTCCAGCTCACCGCGCGCCCCCAGTCTGGCGCCCGCCAGCTGGCCCGCCACGGCATAGCGCGAGCCATCACCACACAACGGCCAGCCGAAGCCGACCGCGCCGCCGACCGCGCCGCCGGCCACGGCAGCCGCGCTGTCGGAGCTGGCGGCGAGCGCGCGCAGTTCCTCCAGCGCCTCCTGCGCTCGTTCCGCCTGCTCCACGCAATGCGTACCGTTGAAGGCTCGCCCTTCCGCACAACATTTAGTCGACTTCCACGACGTATCATCTGCACACACGAGTGCTGCGGTCCTGTCGCAGCAATACCTTTTCAGGTCCAATGGCTTCGAGACTCCACGTATCATCATTGCGCCGTTGCGAGCGAGCAGGGCATAGGGCGCCGCGTACTCCGGTAACACTCGTAAGGGTTTACAGTCTGGAAGTTTTCCCCATTCGTAGCGCCAATGACGCGGTACATAGCCAAGCGTGACGAATCCCGTGTCATTTGGGTTTGTGCGATTTCGTTTTAACGCATACACTCGTGGAGACCAGGTCACATTCCTGTCGACCTGTTCGCATGGTGCTGCGGCTACTGTTGATGAAAGTATGGGAGAACGCAGCGCCTCGGCAGTGAGCACATGTCCCTCTGGGCAGCAGCGCGACACCAACAGCATCGACAGCTCCGGCTTGACGTCGCCTGCCACCCCCCATAGCACACAACATGCTAACAGACAACTAGCGAGTAATGACATATCGCAACGAGTTCACTATTCACCGATCGCATCGACAACAAAAGGGCCGCTGAGCCTGCATCGCAAGCCGTTGTCCAGTACACTTTTTGTACGTTTCTTTTACACAATGTATTCACAGGACACTAAAATATTACATATATAACAGCACTTTCCAACTACACAAAACTTTACGTGTTGTTATTGGGATAATAAAAACACGTGTACGAAACCGAAAATCGCAACCGACGCGGCCTCTCCCTCCGAACACGGCCGCGATACTAAAGCGAGAAGCGACTAGCGATTGCGACCAGCGAGTGGTAGGTCCGGGCGCGCGGTGCCCTCCCTCCGCGCCACGACTCCGCGACTCGCACGTGCACGCTGCTACACAATACCCGATACCCAACCACTGCCCACAGCAGGGCGCAGCGCGCAAGGGCGCACACAACACGTACTACCGTCGTATAATGCTGTGGGTCTGAGTAAACAAGAGCAAGGATAAAAATAAAAATAGGTAGTTTACCAAACAATAACTTAATATATAAATTATATTAAAAGTTCCTACGCAGAAAGTTATTTAATGTTCCATCAAAATGCAACACGTTTGTATAGTTACATACTTAAATAATTTCGTCGCCAGCCCACTTATTTGGTATGCAGGTATATGAATGAAAATAAAGATCGTTTCAGTAGAGACTGTAACCATTGGTTTGCTTCGGAGACAACCAATGGGTAAACAAGATATGGCTTCGTTAAAAACGGTACAATTTAAATTTGTTTTCTTTTATTTTTGGTGTTAACTCACAAGAGCCTGAGGTAAAAATGGGTGTTCCACAAGGTTCAATATTAGGTCCTTTCCTCTTTTTAGTCTAAACAACGATTTACTACTTACAATACACCCTATACGTGGCCTATGTGTCAACATGTGTTAACATAGGCCACGTATAGGGGGAGATTGTTATACAGGAGTTATTCCAGACCAGAATCCAATGTTCCAAAATTCATACTGATCCCTTCAGCCGCTACGACGTGAAAATGTAACAAAGACACACACACACACATACATCCTGACAAACTTTTGCATTTATAATATCAATTAATAGGCAGTACGATAGTTTAAGACAAGAACTTTGAAAAAAGGCGGTCGAAATGTCACTTAGGAGATGATTGAGACACTAAAATGTCAGTGGTTTATTTATGTGTGCGTGTGTAATGGGTTACTACGTTACCAGACATAAGAAAATTAACCAATTTGAATAAATATTGTTGACGTTCTATGGACTTTTTTTGTGCTGCTTTTTACAAGGATTATAAGTATTTTAGGAAATTTAATTCCACTTATTCAACTGTGTCCCTAATTAACTTATTCAAACATAAGGAAGGCAGTTTTACATTGTTATATGATGTGCGCAAATATAGTATAGCTATAGCTATACAATGTAATTACTCTTGATTATTTATTATTTTTAAATAAGAAATAATCCACACAAACACTAAAATATTTTTTTATTAAGACTTGGATTATTTAATCTTAATAATCAAGCCATTTTTTATCACGACATGTGCAGCAAGGACTGATTCCTTGCAAGTTTGTTTTTGTAAATTATCTTCCTTTATTTGTATCCAATAATTCTTCCATACTTACATTATTTCCAGCGGAAAATCTACAAAACATTTCTGCACCCAAATTCAGGGCAAAGGAAATAACATAGTCATTTACTTGCTACACCGTAATGTATGAAGTGTAACGACAGGCTATGTCAAGTGACAAATATGCTTCGTGTCATTGTGCGTATTTTTTTTTTTTTAAGGGGGGAAAATCATCGAATGACTGCTCCCGCCTGGGTGAGGCGGAAGGGAGTGTCAGACTCTTACTGACTAAAAACCACCCCGTTCCTTCTCCTGCACGTCGAGCCGGAGCCCCGGTTACCCGTTAGGTTCTCCGCGACTCCGAATCGGCATCGGCCCTATTGGGCCCCATCTGTGGTGGTCTGATGGCTCTTTGAGGCGCGCGCGGAACGCGACGCGCCGTACGCTCGGGTCTGTTTCTGGTCGGACGGGGAGCCACCCATGCTCGCCGTCCGCAGGCCCGCGCTTACGGTGGCCGGAGATCGTCCCGCGATCCCCGACGCCCGGTGTGTCCTTCGCGATGGCTGGGTTGCGAGGAGGCAGCGCTTCGCTGCCTCACGCGTCCCGCCTCCTCCTTAGCTAGCATGACTGCTTCGCAAAAGGAGGAGACGGCATCCCAGTCCCCCTCGCTCCGCATCATGGCCTGCACTAGGCCCGGACGCGAGAGGTCGCCATCGCCGATCACTTCCCTGAGGGCACGGCGCTGCTCAGCCCACGCAGGGCATTCTCCCACTGTGTGTTCCACCGTGTCCTCAGGGCGGTCCTCGCAGTGATGACACCCGGGCGTTTCCTCCCGCCCCATCAGACACAGGTACCTCCCGAAACTTCCATGTCCGGTGAGGACCTGCGTCAGGCGGTAGGTGAGGACGCCGTAGCGTCTCTCAAGCCACTCCTCAAAGAGGGGACTTACCGCTGCAATGGCAGCGAGCCCAGTCATTGTGCGTATACCTTGCGTGCAACTCTATAGTAGCCAGATCGGCAGATGTCCAGTCCTTGTTTCAAGAGACGGTATCTAATTTGAAATTACTAAACTATCTTTCTTGCACACTGAATAACTTGGTTTACTGAACATTCAACAAAATGGCGAAACTAAAATCCTAATATTGGTGATTGTTATCCGAGTATATTAATTTCTAATAATAGCGGCTTCCAACCTAACTTCTACCACCTTAGTATAAAAGGAAATTATAAAACAATAAACTACTGTTTTTTCCAGAATTTGGATAACATCTTGACGGGAAAAAAATTCAATACCCGAGAGGCAGCACAAAATGTCTTTGAGGAATTTGTTGCCGCCCATCCAGCACATTTTTTAAATAGGGCATCAATAAACTGACACTTTTTAAGGGTGGAAAATCATCAAATGTTTTCTCCCGCCCTGGTGAGGCGGGAGTGAGTGTCAGACTCTTACTGACTAAAAACCACCTCGTTCCTACTCCTGCACTTCGAGCCACAGCCCCGGCAATCCGTTAAGTACTCCGCGGCTCCGTATCGGTATCAGCCCTACAGAGCCCCATCTGTGGTGGTCTGAGTCTGTAGGCTCCTTGAGCTCGGGTCTGGTTCTGGTCGAGGGGCGAGACACCCGTGTTTGCCGACCGCAGGCACATGTTCTGGAAGCTCTATTTTCATTTTTAAATATCAATCTTTTTATTCTAGTTCTGGTGGTAGGTAAGACTGACTTTCGTTTTCACCAAATTATTTCACTATGATACAATAGGTATTCGGGATATAACTATATATTTACACCCTATATAAAAATAAAAATCCCTTTTCCCTAATGCCTAAAACCTATGTTTACAATAAACTACCTCATCAGGACAAAAATTGGAATTAGGTTCCTAACTACTTACTATGCTCTATTAAAAACCTTTTTTTTCTAATAAAGAGTGGAAATATTTGTTTGTGTCAATTTTCTGTGAACCGTGCTATCACAGCATCACTCCGGGCGATCCGGCCCATACGTGCCGAAGCCAAAACATGACTCTCTTACGTAAAAAAATAATTGTGGCATTTATTCGAACTAAAAAATTACATCATATTTTAAGTTTCATAATAATATATTTCATAATTAACAGGATATATTATACACCTTTACATTATATCAGTTAGGTTCAATAAGGTACCAGGTATTAATGCTTACTTTAGTCTATGATTAAATTTAGATGATTAAAGTAGCAGCGCCATCTTACGGTGTAATGGTAAATTAAAATAGTAGTACAATGTACATCCGTAGTACAATAAGGTTTCATTTGTACCGCTCGCGCTGTCTTCCGTTAGGTACGTGCTAACAGAGGTCGCCACCGTCTGTGACCCAATATGTACTTACATCAAAAGTTATTAATAATATTGTATTAGTAAGTACATACCTACTTTTTTTAAGGGGGGAAAACCATGCAATGGCTTCTCCCGGCCGGTTGAGGCCAGAGGGAGTGTCAGACTGTTACTGACTAAAACCACCCCGTTCCTTCTCCTAAACATAATTTATATTTAATGACATACCTAAGATAACAGGTCAACCATTGGTCCTGTTTGCAGATGACAGCACAGTAGTATTCAGTACAAATAACAATGACTCGACACTTGAAACAGAGACAAATCACTGCCTAGAATCAAGCGCGCGTGCGCCCCACCCGCACGCGCGCCACGCCGCGTACGCCGACCACGCCAAGCTGCCTGACTAGAGTGGATTCCCGATAATAATTTAAAAAATAAACATTGACAAAACTAAAATAATGATATTTAAACAAAAAACTAATCACAATAACTTGACATTTGGATGTAAAAACAAAATAATTGCAGAAACAGTGTCCACCAAATTCCTAGGAATAGAACTAGACAGAGACATATGGCATGACAAACCCACACAAATAAATATGTACATATGTAAGCGACTGAATAAGCAGTCATACGCCCTATACAAACTCGCTAAAGAAGTAAACCAGAGTATTGTGTCACATCGATATTACGATATGGCATTTTTTGTTGGGGGAACTCCACGAATACAGACATGGTGTTTAAAGCACAAAGAGATGTGTTAGGGCAATATGCGGTATTCAAACAACAGACAGTTGTAAACCGTATTTTGAGAAATTAACCGTATTTTTTGTGTTGTGTTTTAATGTTTGTTTTAACTTAACTTATTATGGGATAACTTGTAAAATGTTGACTAAACTGATAATTCATAAAATTGCTGTAATCTGGAACTCATCAATTACTTATATTTTACGAATAATAATTGCATGCCTTGATTGGTGAACGTGGGGAACTGCGCATTCATCTAACATCTTGCAATAAACAAAATACAATTATTTCAGATGATCTAAATGTAGGTACTGTGTTCAGCAATAAAGATATTTGAATTATAATTTTAATATTTTTACGTATTTTAGGAGTTACTACAACTTTCATATAAAAGTAAACATATAAATGAAGAACATATAAAATATTCTATCTTGCCCCGATTTCAGAACTCGTAGTACTTAATGGTCAGAGGTTCTTAGCCTCTACTATTTTTTTTAAATGGTGGGAAAATCATCGAATGACTGCTCCCGCCTGGGTGAGGCGGGAGGGAGTGTCAGACTCTTACTGACTAAAAACCACTATGTTCCTTCTCCTGCACGTCGAGCCGGAGCCCCGGTAACCCGTTAGGTTCTCCGCGACTCCGAATCGGCATCAGCCCTGTTGGGCCCCATCCGTGGTGGTCTGATGGCTCTTTGAGGCGCGCGCGGACGCGACGCGCCGTACGCTCGGGTAGCCTCTACCATAGGTGTGTGGTTACAAAATACAATGACAAATACGAATTGCAAATGTTTGTAAAAAGCCATTATTTATCAGCAGAAAATAGGAACTCCACTAGTTTCAATTCAAACCATGCTAGAGGCTCATATTCATGAGCAGTATTCCGCAACATCCGACGCGGCCACTGTCGCGCTGCTACGGGCTACACACTGTAGTTGTACTTTTACTATGAGCTGTACATGAATATGAGCCCCTAGCATGGCTTGAAACTAGTCGAGTTCCTTGTCAAATAGTTACAAGCCAAAAAATTATAATTAAATTAAGAATTAGGTGTAATATAGATTCGAATATAATCTGTATTAAATTTCTGTATTAAACTTCCTAATTATGCCAAATTAATGTAAGCTAAACGAAGTTAAGCTGTTTTTTCCCTATGAATAGTATTTTATTTGCTTTGACCTAATTTATCTTTATGCATCATTGATTGATCATATTATATGTAACATGTCATGATTTACAGTATTTTTATTCATTTTTAAACTACGGTAGTGAAAAGGTTGAGAACTTCTTCTGCAATCTTTCCCCAGTGAGGTAAGATTGAAATATATAAAGCAAATATTATATTGACTGCACGGTTGGTGCGGTGGTTGGGCAACGGGCTGCCGTGCAACGTGTCGCGGGTTCGATTCCCGCACGGAACAACACTTTGTGTGATGCACAAATTGTTGTTTCGGGTCTGGGTGTCATTGTGTATGTGAACTTGTATGTTTGTAAACGCACCCACGACACAGGAGAAAATCCTAGTGTGGGGCAACGTTTTTAAAAAAAAATTGTTTTATATTTGTTATGCAAAGGTATTTTGACACTAATGGTAGTTCAGAGTATTCAAGCCTAGTGAAAGCCTTCAAAATAGAGACTAGTGACCATCAAGAACGTCAGATATTCATTTGAACGATTTTAGAAACTATGTCGACCTTTCCCCATCGCCTTTTCGTCTTTCCCCTAGATATATTTTCGTAGTAACAAAATTTGCTTATTTCTTTCTGCTTTCAAATAGTTTTAATCGGATGGCATTAATATGATATGAAAATATATCTATTATTTGCTCTTTACTCGTAACAAACAACATTTTAGAAGACACGTAAATGTGCCGTTCTACACGACTTCCAACACAACACTGTCCATCTCATTAAAAACTGTCAGATTATAGTGACGATAAGAATGCTTGGCAGCATGTTGGTACGGCTCCGCTAGACAATGCTCATTACACTCAGTAGTTGCTCATACTCGATATAGTCTTAATTTCAATGTCATCCAGATATTTTATCGATCGAACATTTCTTTTGTTTTCATCTGAAAGACTTCATCAGATTTTTATTTATACAAGTATCATTATTTATATAGTATCATTATTTCAAATTGTAATTGTACATACGTGGACACCATGTTTGAAACGATTATTTATCATCATTCATTCTTTTTATTTCATCGCTTTTTATTTTATTTCAGGAGTTTATTCCGGAGTCCCATTAAATTTTGAAGTATTGTCGTTACATCGTTATCACATATACATTATATATGTTACCGGCCAAACCCGGTTTCAGGACAAACTAGTTTTGCCTAGGCTAAACTAGTTCTTCCTATACGCGTTAGGACGAACTAGTATAGCCTAGTTCAAACTAATTTGTCCTAAGCCCGATAGGATAAACCAGTTTAGGCTAGGACAAACTAGTTGATCCTGATATAAATAGGCGCACTCTAGGATAAACTGGTATGGCCTAGTCTAAACATTCTAATATAGGTATCTAGAAAGTCAAAATAAATAGATAAATTAAATTAAATACTCCGTAATTGGTAAAATAATCATTTTTATTAAACTATAATGATTCGTCGTTAAAACTTTTGGTTAATTGGTAATACAAACTATAACAAATAATAAGTGTTTTTAAAAGAAGCAATAATTATTTAAAGGTTATTAATTTAAAATCATAATGATTCGTTGCTACAAGTTGTAGATAATAATTGGCAATACAAACAATCATATTATAACTGACAATAGGTACTGTTTATTTATCACATAACATCACGCCTTTTACCCCCGAAGGGGTAGGCAGAGGTGCACATTATGCCACTGAACAATGTAACATCCACTTTTAACTATTTATGTTACGAGTCCCATGTAACAGGCCTATTGCCATATACCGGGCATAATTCCATACTCCGTGCTACTACTGAGATTTTGTTTTTTAAAACCTAATAAGTAATACTATGCCCGATCCGGGAATCGAACCCGAGACCAAGGGGTCTCGGGCAAGGGCCCGGCAGTCGCATTTGCTACCACTTGACTAACGAGGCAGTCACCCTGTTTTTTAATAAACGCAATAATCATACTACGACTACGCCATACCAGTTTATCCTAGAATGTGCGTATTTATATCAGGATCAACTAGTTTGTCCTAGCCTAAACTGGTTTATCCTATCGGGCTTAGGACAAATTAGTTTGAACTAGGCTATACTAGTTCATCCTAACGCGTATAGGAACAACTAGTTTGGCCTAGGCAAAACTAGTTTGTCCTGAAATCGGGTTTGGCCGGTAACATATACATTAGTTAACGGATCAGACAATGTATCAATGAGATTGTAATTTTGTACATACATACATAACTTCACGCCTGTCTCCCATGGGGTAGGCAGACTAAGGAACGCCAATTACCACGATTCTTACATACCTCTTTCGCTTCATTAACAGTCATCAATCTTTTCATGCATGCTCGTCGGTTAAGGGTACTTTTAATTTGGCCCTTCTTTAATATATCGCCAATCTGGTCACTATATGTCCGTCTAGGGCGCCCTCTACCGACGGCTCCATTCATATCCGCTCTGTATACTTCTTTCGTTACTCTACTTTCATCCATCCTTTCTACATGTCCAAACCAGCGTAACATTCCCTTTTCAATCCTTGTCACTACATCGTCTTTCAATCCACACCTCTCTCTAATAACACTATTTTTCACTCGATCACTCAATTTTAGTCCACACATACTTCTCAGGGCTCTCATTTCCACCGCATTAATCCTGCTTTCATGCTTCTTCTGCCAAACCCGTGATTCACTACCATACATAAGCGTTGGTGTCGTTGCATTACAGCAAGTCGAGCTTTGCTGGATATTATTTTACTCGACATTACAGAGTGTAAAGCACCATTAACACTATTTCCCGCTTTCACTGTCCTTTCAATATCCCCGTCACACTTTCCATCTCTCGTAAATAGTGATCCCAGATACACAAATTCATTCACTTGTTCCAATTTTTCATCACCTATCATTACCCGACATTCTGCTATCACCTCATTTCTTTCTATCACCAACACTTTCGTCTTGTTCACATTTATTTTCATACCTTTCCTTTCAAATGCATCACTCATAGCAGTGACCATTTGTTGTAATTCTTGGGCCGACGAGGCAACAAGCACCTGGTCGTCGGCATACAACAATGTTTTAATCACTGTGTCATTCATCCTTAATCCAGACTCTCCTACTTTTAGATCGTTCAAACAGCTGTCCATAAATAGGTTGAACAGCCAAGGAGATGCTACACAGCCTTGCCTAACACCTCGATTAATGTCAAACCACTCTGTGTAGTCCCCATTTATTCTGACACAGGCACTCGAGTCCTTATATAAGGATTTAAGTGCCCGAATCAGGTGGCTATCCACCCCATACATGGACAGAGTTGACCACAATTCATCCCTCACCACTCTGTCATAAGCCTTTTCTAGGTCTATAAAGGCACAAAATACCTTTTGTAATTTTTTATTGTAATTTTGTTTTAATGAGTAACTATGTCATTTCTTTCTCGTTCTTCTCCATTCGAAACTACACTTGGAACGAGCGCCTAGCTTCACTGACAGACGGCCGGACGGAAAATTAAAATGTTAACGTTTCAAAAGTGCATAGTTAAGGAATAATTGAAGTAAATGCTTTGACTTTGACAACATTCTTGATTATGTGGTACCTATATAAGAAATATTTTTATGTAAATTAAAATTAACCAGGAATACTCAGGAAAATGTATTTATTTGTGTTTTATACAATGTCAAATCGATAAACAGAGCCGTTCACGACACTCAGTTCTCGCTCAGAGTATCTGTCGAGAGTAGAAGTAAGCAGTGATGATGCCGAGTTCGGGCTCGCTCGTCGAAGTCGGAATAAAATACAGTACATTTTGGTGTTATCATTTATTGCGAGTAGGGCGAACAGAAGGAGCACGCGGCTAAGGCGGGCGGCGCTCGGTGACGGCGGCGTCGGCCGTGGCCTCGTAGCGCGGCGGGTTGGCCCACGGGTCGTAGCCCAGCACCGACAGCATGGGCGCCAGCTCCGCCATGTCGGCGCGCACGTCGGCCGGGATCTGGCCCACCCACTTGTCCAGCGCGTCCAGGTTCACGGGCCGCACCACCTGGTCCGACGACCGCTCCACGCTGCGCAATACACGCAAACATTAATACATCACAATCATGCATACACCTACATACTTCAAGTATTTTTTCACTTCGTACGTTTGATAAAGCTAATATTAAAGTTTTATTCAGATATTATATGTGTGTTCACGTTATTTAAAAAAGTTATTTTTACAAATAATAAATAAATAAGTTATTTTTGCTTTTAGTTCTGTTTTAACTGCCTCGTTGGCAGAGTGGTCGCAAGTGCGACTGCCGGGAGAGGTCTCTCGGTCGGGTCGGGCTAAGTATAACTGGTTTTTTTTAGAAAATTATAAGTAGTAGCACGGTGTCTGGAAATGTGCCCTCTTCTGTTCTATACTGGTAACAAACAACTTACTTAGAAGTTTACTTCTTGTTTTTGAAGTCGGTTTTTTAAACTCGCCGCAACATCACAACCAGACTCAAGGAACGCAATGTGAAGAACCGAGACACACATACATCGGCACTAGTCGAGCATGCTTGTGGCACGGGCACGGGCACGGGCACGGGTCACTTCCTCCGTTTCGACTAGGCCTCCGTACTAGCGAGGGAGAAATACTTTATACCGCAGAAAGTACGTGAGGCCATCGAAATAAGTCGTCGTCTGAACTCCAACAGAGACAGTGGCTGGGCACTGTCACCTGCCTGAAAGCCAAATCTAAAATTTGCGTCAGCAGACTACAATGTTGCGGATCTGGAGTGTGACACAATGAGCGCGGCGTGTAACACTGTTTTTGCGTCGACCCGGGATTCGAACCCAACACCTACCAGCAACCACCGGCAAGCGAGCCTAGCGTGCCAGCAGTGACGAACGCCGCCGCCGATACCACGGATAGAACTGCAGGCGGGAATGACGGAGGAGGGCGCGTCGGGCCAAACCGCTGCAGAGCCGAGCAGACAGTAAGAGCGCGACGCGGGGCGCGGAATGCTGTCGAGTTCCTCGTCAAACAGTTACGTGAGTAGGCCGAGAATATAATAATTAATTTAGTGTAGCAGTTACTTGGAGAGCGCGACGCCGTTGGGCTGGTTAATGTACTGCTCGTGGTGCAGCACGGCGTCGTGCCACGGCAGCTGTAGGAAGTCCAGCACGCGCCGCATGGTGGCCGCCGGCCGCAGCACCAGCGCCTCGTAGCGCACCATCAGGCACTTGTCCGCGCCCATACTCTTGCACTGCTGGTACATCAGCTCCACCGCGTGGTTCCACTTGGTCAGACACTGCCGGTAGCTCGTCAGGTCGAAGCCGGTTATCGTCACCTGCATGCGACAGACAAACACGTTCAGGGAATAGTCGAAACCTGATTTTATATTATGAGCAATATGAGCATCCGGCTACAGAACCCGATCTAAATCGATCCCGTTAGACAGTACGTATCTTACCGCCCAAACTAGAGTGGAGTAGAGTTCGAAATACTCTCAAATAACTTATTTCGAAATTTAACATAACATAACATAACATCACGCCTTTTTATCCCCGAAGGAGTAGGCAGAGGTGCACATTATACCACTGTACAATGTAACACCCATTTTTCACTATTTATGTTATGAGTCCCATGTAATAGCCTCTGATGACTGCCTCGTTGGCCGAGTGGTCGTAAGTGCGACTGCCGGACAAGGGGTCTCGGGTTCGATTCCCGGGTCGGGCAAAGTATTACTGGGTTTTTAAATATTCTCAGTAGTAGCACGGAGTCTGGAATTGTGCCCGGTATATGGCAATAGGTTCGAAATTAAAATTCTAAAATATAATATAATATATTAAATCCTAGAAAAAAGTGATTGGTTTGGTGACAAATTCAGTGAACACACTACCAAATAGTTGTAAGTAATACAATAAATGAAATCAGACATTCATGCTATCCAATAGCTAACGGATCTCTTCCACTATAGCTCATGGATCTCCTCTACAATACCTCACGGGGCTCTCTACAATATGTTATGGCTCTACAATCTACAATATATCCTCTACAAAAGAGGTTTACCCTAATCTCCATGCTTTGCAGGAGGTTAAGAGTTCGCAGATCACAAGGATCTGAGAACACTGCTGCCCGATCCATGTTAAATAAATTATAATAATATACTACAGTTGCAATCGTTAAATCGAGTCTCACAACACAACACCCAACACCTACTCGTGTAGGGATGATATCGAATGTATTGTATTCGACAGCCACCAGCACCAGCCCACCGCGCGGCTACGCAAAGTAGGTACATAAACGTAACGTAACGCTCATCAAGCTACTGATTCCAACTTAGCTTAACTTAGATCCCACTTAGCCGTGCCTAGTAGGAACAACTGTGCTGGTTCAATCAAGGCGTTGATTGTAAGAAAATAGCAGGTTAATTGAAAAATCACAAAGTGAGTGTCGAATTGATTGTTATGGTCCAGGTTGTTGCTTATTTTAGTTTATGCGTATAGTTTGCGAATTAGTTACTCACTATTAAATTAGTTAACTGTTATGTACACCTTTTTTATATTTAATAGGGTGACGTTTGGAGCTTGCCTGCCTATTTGTAATCTATTCACCCGAGACTTGAGACAGTCAAGTTGTATATTATTATTTTCTCAAAAACATGGTATACAAAGGTCTTAAAATTTAATTAAGGTTTACATGTTTTGCATAAAAATTAACCTGCTAAATAATAACACATCGTGCCTATGACCCAAAAGAACTTCTCTGCACTCACAGAAACCCAATAGATGTGGCATATTATTATGCTCTTGAATATGCTCTTGGCATATGCTCTTTGTATTGTGTACTGGGGCATATATTCGTCCAGGTCGAAGGTCCCTTGAGTTAAAAAGCTTCTCAGCTGATCCGTCAGCTTGTACGGATGCCGTAATGGAGGTGTTGCATCAGGTCATGAATTGTCAGATTCCATTCTCGGACGCGACATCCTTCGGTGGCACTCGGCCGAATAGGGGCCAAATTTTCTTCTTATCCAGCGGGTAGTAAGGCTTTTTGTTCCCTGGCAATTGAGAAGGCGAACTTATTTGTCTCCCTTTTTGCGGAGCCTTCGCGTCTAGATGCTGGCGACGCTTCACCTCCTTCTCTACACTGCGTATGTGGGACCAATGACTAACGAACGTTGCGCAACCTGGACGTGTACGAACCCAGTGGTCCCGACGGAATCCCAGCCGTACTTCTGAAAACTTGTGCACCTGAGTTAGTTCTAATCTTGACACGTCTGGTTTGTCTAACTTTAGAGACTGGTCAAGTACCGAATGCATGGAAGCTGGCCAACGTGCAACCTGTGCCTAAAAAAGGCAGCCATGCCGACTCTAGTAACTACATACCTATCGAGTATGGACGTGACCGAGATATGTATGAGAGAGAGGTATGGAACGTATACTGAACGATAGGCTCTCCTGGCATATCTTGAAGGTAACGATCTCCTTGGTGATCAGCAACACGGCTTTCGTCGAAACCGAAATCTACTAGAGACCTTCTTGCGTATGCCACCCACATCTGTAGCGAGGCCATCGAGAAGCAAGGGGAAGCACTAGTAGACGCGTGTCAAAAAATTGTGGGTGATTTATACCACTAGGAGACGTATCTAGAAGGATATAAGAGCATAAAATATAAGATTAGCACTATGCCGTCACTTGTAAGCTGTCCAACTAAATCCAGGTGAGAATTCAGAAGTACAGGTACAGTGAGTACACTTTGGTCACATAATTATTGTACGGCATTTTACCATCGAAAGATCCATGAAAAATAATAAATAAGAAAACGCGCAGGGCCGTAAAAGGATGATACGCCACAAAATCGGGTTTTTTTCCGACAATTTTCAGGGAAAGTTCGATTATTTGATTTTGTACGGCCTCAGTTTCATACTATTTTAATACTGCTTCTAATCCATTACTAGCTTTTCTCAGTATATTCAATTGAGTAACCCGCCATTTTTAGTTAATTTAGTACCTATGTTCCACGATAGTTATTATAAAAACCACTAATTGGTTAGCGTAGCATGTAAGATCTTTATAATTACAATTATTTGCCCATATAAACAATCCAGCTAATTATTTGACAAGAGCACGGACAAAGAGTCCATAGTGACACAAATTAAATACAAATTAGTAATATAATAAGTATCAAGTTTTGATCCAGAAAACGGCAACGGGGGCTATGTGTTAAATTCCCGGGAGTCTCTATCTCTTAAAGCACTGAATTTATTTGAATGAAATTCGATACAACGATAGTTTGAAAGCCGGGAAAGGACGCCTGAGTGTTTGTGTGCCGTGTGCCGTGTGTTGTGCTTGTTCTAGAATTATACCGTAAAATTCCGGCACACTATCTTTTAAATCATTGTACCTGCATACATATTTGATTGAAATTCGGTACAATAATGATTTGCAACCCGGGAAAGGCGAGATGAGCGTCCTGGTGGTGGTGCACCACTTTAGGGATTAAAAAGCGTGACATTATATCTTGTGATGTAATAATAATTATAAACTAAAATCAATATTTGGAGGATCAGGATTACACTCGGTTTATATTTCATCCAAGTGAAATGACATGCGGCTCGGTTGGGTTAGAACTGGACCCTCACCGCCATATCACATTTTGTAAAAACACATCACCATCATTATTATCAGCGAGAAACGAATTTTAATCATTTAACGGTACCTTTCAAGAGATGTACCTAACAACTGTATAGTATTTATTGATCAGCCGTTCAGACAGAACAAAACTACAAGGAGTTATAATCTCTAAATGTAACGACAACTAACCTTGCGCGTGATGATAGAGTGAACAGTCGCGCGGCCGTCGCGCACCATGAACAAGAATTTAGCATTTGGAAACAACTCCAGCACATAGGTCCCCATCTTGAGCACGAGCGGGTCCTTATTGCAGAGCCGTGGAGCAGTGTCGCCGTGCCTCACGATCACTTCTAAGCAGAACGCGGCTATGGCGTTGTCCAGCACCGCCTTAGACACCCCCGCCTGTTCCAGTCGCACCGTCTCCTTCTGCGAGCGCAACCAGTGCTGGCGCATCTGCAGCAGGCGCGGCACCACGCGCGTCTCCTGGCCGCAGCGCACGTCTGGGTGCGCGTCTAGCATGGCACGCATGAGCGTGGTGCCGGAGCGCGGCACGCCTCCGATGAAGATCAGCGGCAGCTCGCGGCCCTCCACGGGCGCGTCCAGCTCGCGGCGCCGCTGCGCGCCCGCCGGCCGCGCGCCGCCGCGCCACAGCCACACCAGCAGCGCGCCCGCCACCAGCGCCGCCGCCAGGCGCCAGCGCGCGCCGCGCCCCATCGCTGCCGCGCCTAGGCCTGCACAACACATACGAACTCACGTACACACAATTCCCGCCTCGCCAACATGGCGACATTACTGCACGACTGCTACTGCTGCCAGTGCGTCGTACAGCCCTACACACCATGTTCACACACAGCAGCACATTTACCGACGTCACTATTTTATAGTAAATTAATGTTTGTGGATTACATTCCTACTAATAAACGTTGCGTTTTGTGCATTGCGCTTCTTTCATTAAAGTTTTAAGTGAAATAAAATCACGTACTACAGAGGGCTTAGCACGAGTTGGTTTTACGTTTAACGAGATCGAAATGTTACCAACCAGACGTTAGCCCTCTGCAGAGTTCATTGGAGCTGGCCAATCAGAGTGCCGAACGCGATAACGTTTCGATCTCGTTAAACGTAATACAAATTCGTACTAAGCCCTCTACTTGAGGAAGCAATTCGAGTAATTGAATTTAAATCAAAGTCAGTTCGTCGTATCGCGTAAACTGCTCATGAATATGAGCCCTTAGTGTAACATTAAACTAGACGAGTTACCTTGTCAAACCGTTACGTGAGTAAGCCACTAAGGTGGATGCTTTAAGGTACCTAAACCCACGAAAGGTGATCTTTTTTTTTGGTTCTTTTCTGCAAGTGCCGCCGGTCACCATAAAAAAAAAAACAAAGTAAAAAAAAATTGGTTGCCTGTAAAGTCGGTATACGGGCGAAAGTTTTACGTGACAACGACTTTGAGTGGTAAAATAATTTTAATGTGAATATTCATTCGTATAGTAGGAAGAAGGATGAAATAATTGACTTTTTATGTCTGTCTCTCTCGCTCTTAGGCGGGCTAACCATGCCCGAGTGGAAGGGACGCGTGCCTGTGACTCGCTCTCATTGTGAGCGCATAACGTGAGCGGAGCGTAACGCAGTTTCTTGAAGTGTCACCCGCCAAACCAATTTATAAGACGTTGTCACGTCAAAAAAACATGATATTTTCACGGTGTATATTGGCCGAAATGATGTGTATGTTTTCACATTAAACACTTTTTAAAACGATTAATGCTGTACCATTCTAGTAAAATCTGACGTTACAGACCACTAAGTTTCAAAGTTATTATACGAGTACGTTGATGGTTTCAAAAAGTACTCGTGTGTCAATTGTAAAAAGATAGCTAGCATAGATTTTGTGTGCTACCTGTCAAGGTAGCACACAAAATCTATGCTAGACCGTCAGGTCTTAAACATAATTAATTGAATGTCTCTCGAGAGGTATAACTATTATTATTTTATTTAGTTCTCAAGTCAAGGTAGACTTAATTAATTGATTAATTAGGTAAAGGTAGCCTGCGAAATCTAATTAATTAAAGAATGAAATAAAATAATTATTACAAAATGAAATAAAACTTATAGTAATAAATAAATGCAAAAAATTATAGAAAAGTATTGAAAGACCCCAATACTCAAAATGATAAATGTACAAATTGCCGTCGACAGTCAGATGCAGCCCATCACAACCGCTTGGCTAACCCTCACCCAAACTATGTATATATATATATTCCTTGCAAGGCGTCATAGTAGGGTTAAAATGCAGCAAATTAGGTCACCAAATGTTCTACCGAAGTTCTGTAGTTTTTGAGTTATTTAGATTTTTATGAATCACAGATTAAATCATTTGGAGCCAATTTCAACAAATCACATCAAGAATCACAAAAACTGAAGTGAGGTAGCTAATCAGAACATGCATAAATGTGGGTACATGCAAGAATTTGAGGTCCACATTGCTGTAATGTATCATGTAATGTAACAGGATTCCCATAGTGCCTCGCCTCGCGCGCAACGAACTGCGCCTGGGTCGCGCACGCTCCGAGCGTTACAACTCATGCGCGGCTCGATCCGAGATTTGTCGGTTTTTAGTACGAACACAAAGGGGAGTGCAGTGTGCGCAGGACTCAGCCGTGGACGGTCGTTCGTTTCGTTCGCATGCGCAGTGATCATGGCGGTGTAAGAGGGTGCGTGGAGTGATGACGAGTCACTGTCATGATTAACAATGAAGCACTGATAATCGTCAGAGCAAGAAGGCTATCTTCAGACTTCCATGATTCGTGTATATCGACTTAAGTAGTGATGTGGGCAAAGAAAAGAACACGGGCGACGAGGGCTAGTGTTTGTAACGAAATGCGGGAACAGATGTTCTCCAATGATATCTGTTCCCGCATGGCGTCCGTGCGTCCGGCATCCGTGGCGCGCGCGCGGTACGCGCGTTGGCAATGCGCGTACCGAGCGCGCGCCACACGTCCAAGGCAGCAGGGAACATGCAATGTAAGGCAGAATATTACATTACATGTTGCATTGCACCAATCTGTACCCACCTTTAGAAACCGAGGGCAGCACATCGAACAAGACGCGTGAAAGTTTAAACACACACACTAAAAGCGTACTGTCCTGTAGATTTTAAACTGAATTCACGAAATTGTTTTATTGATTTTTCGAATAATCACCTTTTTGTGAGACGTACATAATAAAATCCTTAACTTTGTTTTAACTCGTCGAGTACCGGTTTTATAGACACAATTAAAGAACAATAGGTCGCGGTCACCGGTGACCGCTTGGTATTTGACAGTTTAACTTTCATACCTTTTTGGATAGCTGATAAGATAAGGATATTTTTCTAATAACTTGTACAACATCTGGCGTAGCAATTTTTTTTTACTAAACAACATTTTGTGTGAAGTAATCGCGAAAATGACAAAAAAAATGTTTCTTCAGTGATATTTGCCAAAGTTTATGGCATTTTTGAACTTTTAATTATTTACAAAGATCTGCTACGTCATCAACTATGATATTAACTAAAATTTCAGCACAATCACGCTGTAAATCGTTTTTAAATTGGCTCCAAATGATTTAATCTGGGATATTTTCATAAAAACCTAAAAATCTAAATAACTCAAAAACTACTGAACTTCGGTAGAACATTTGGTGACCTAATTTGCTGCATTTTATAATAATACATTAACCTTACTATGACGCCTTGCAAGGAATACGTCGAGTTACCAGTAACCCTGTATAAATTATACAGAGCTTAAGACTTTGACTGCCAATAAAAAACTGTTGAAGGTAAATCCTCCGCTAACGCCGGTCACAGGTGACCGCATGGCGTTTAACGTGTTAAAGAAGAAATACTTAGAATCTGAAAAATGAATAAAGTATATAATTGTGCCGTCGGTGCTCTCCAGTACAGGAGTCTCCCAAAAACTTACATCGCGGTATCAAACTCCTAAACCCCATAAAAACATACAGAAAGCGGCAATTCTGAACACCAAGAAGAGATTGTCAGGAAGTTTTGCAAGAAGAGACCACCGAACAAGTACCCATGAAGTTCAATGGGTTTAGGCCCGTGAACTTCATATTATTACGGAAACTGCTTTAGTTACGAGAAAAAGGAAATAGCTCAAAAACAATAAGCATATCAAAACTTACACACAGATGTCTAAGTCCATTAGAATGGAAGATAGTGTTAACAATTCGATATCAAACAGTTTCTGCTTTTCACCTTTCAAAAAACAATTTGAAAATGACATAATGTTTAGGTATTTATTTCCACCAGACTGAAAGATTCACAGTTAAGTGTTTATTTTATTTGAATACTTGTTTTCTACCTACATAGAAGTAAACGAATGAGGACCACTCCTGTATTATGTTTAATAATAAAAACTTCAATGATAACGAAGATAACGAACGGTCCAATTAAAAACCTCCATCTTTTTTTTGATGTCTGTTATAAATAACTGTACATGTTCATCAACTCTATAGGTAAAAATGACCAGGAAATGACCACCTCAATCCTTCTTTTTAATTTAATCCTAAGTTCCATCCAGCACAGAATAAGCAATATGTACAGTCCAGGGACACCCAGCTCGCGCGTACGGCTACACTTGCAATTTTTTTATTCGTAGCCTTTATAATTGTCCGAAGCCCTCGGTGCTAAAATTGATGTATATATTTAGTTTTGTTTATATTATTAGAACTTTCGTAAGACATACTAAATTAATTATTATATTTTCAGATTATTCCCGTAACTGTTGCAGTGTCAGTTGCAGCAGCGTGACAGTTGCCGCGTCGTGTGTCGCGGAATACTGTTCATGAATATGAGCCTCTAGCAAGCAATATACGTCCAAAGTTTTGATGACGCGATCGCGATCTCATGGCGCAATGGCAGCAATGACTGTCGCAACCGAGGGCTGGGCTCGCTGCCATTGCAGCGGTAATTCCCCTCTTTGAAGAGTGGCTTGAGAGACGCTACGGCGTCCTCACCTACCGCCTGACGCAGGTCCTCACCGGACATGGGTACTTCGGGAGGTACCTGTGTCTGATAGGGCGGGAGGAAACGCCCCGGTATCAATATGAAGACCACCCTGAGGACACGGTGGAACACACAGTAGGGGAATGCCATGCGTGAGCTGAGCACTGCCGTGCCTTCCGAGACGTGATCAGCAACGGCGACCTCTCGCGTCCGAGAGATGCGGAGCGAGGGGGACTGGGATGCAGTCTCCTCCTTTTGCGAAGCAGTCATGCTGGCTAAGGAGGAGGCGGGCCGCATGAAGCAGCGAAGCGCTGCCTCCTTACAACCCAGCCGTCGCTAAGGACACTCCGGGCGTCGGGGATCGCGGGACGATCTCTAGCCACTGTAAGCGCGGGCCTGCGGACGGCGAGCATGGGTGGCTCGCCGCCCGACTAGAACCAGACTGATGAACAAATACTGGCTGATGCCGATACGGAACCGCGGAGAACTTAATGGGTTACCGGGACTCCAGCTGGAAGTCTGACACTCCCTCCCACCTCACCTAGGTGGGAGAAGACACTTGATTATATTCCCCCATTAAAAAAATTATTAATTTCCACATCATGTGATAGTAGACCAAGCGGCGGATTTTTTTTATAGTGTAGTCCTTTATAGACGTTATGCTCATGTGATTGTGATACACCCTTTAGGAACTTGCCATAATCTCCTGCCC